AAAAATAAATTTTATATTTCTTGAATGTTTTGTAGCATTACACATTCATATTACCATGATTACAGACATATCTAACGATAACATTGTTATTATATCATGTACATAATTCAGAATAAATTCTTTTAATTATAATATTCATATATAAACCTTAATTTACATACACTTTTCTAAATTAGCTTAATATAAAAAATTCCATATCAAAAACCATTAAAAATTATACAAATTACTTGTTTTATTCTCTATTGATGTTTATCTTATATACTATGAGGTCATGCCAGATACACTTGATTGACTTTACTTGGTTGATGACCTGCTGATATTCACTTCTCTTTTACAGCTGTAACCCATATTGTGATGTTGTATGGGATGTGGTATAAGGTGTTAAGATAAATCAATTAAAATGTTAAATGCAATAAGCAAGTATTTCGAGATGCTGTGTTATGGCATACGATTTTGCAGACGTTATTTGTTATTAGGAATGCAACACAAATTATCTACAGATACTGTGTTGTGGTTCTCAGGGCAAGCTTTTTAATTAGGGACTCTGTGGGAATTGTTTTTAATGAAAAAAATACACAAAAAACATTAATTATTTGAAATATATATGAGGTAGAAATATACTAGGACAAGAGTTTTCATTTTTATGTTTGACCTTTGACCCCAAGCATCTGCCTGATATTCTTGAATATATACCTTTTGTCTGCCAACATTCCAATTTACAATAAAACACACTTAAAAACATAGTAATATAACTACCGCAGCACACATCATACAAAAAATGAGCAGAAAGGATGCAAAAACTAACTACTTTTTATAGCGTATGACCATTGTACGTGGAAATCTTATTTCGCACAGGAAAATACGGGAAACTGTACTAGTTAGCACAAAACATTAAAAAATTATTCCGCCGTTTTTGGATCGTTCTTCTGAATCGATAAATTATAGTTCTTTGCTGCAAATCCTCATCTTCAAAGGCATTGACAGTTTGTTTGAAAGTGATAGTCTTCTCGCATTTCTATGTTTAATTACTTGTGACGTGTGAACGAAAAAGATAATAGATAACTGCATACGAAAGTCCAATGATCCAACTATTTTCTCCATAATTTTGCAGTGTGTGATTGTCCGCGCGAAATGCACTCGTTATTATTCAATTCTTTTTGAACGATTATTTGTTTACGAAATGTAAAGTAATCAGGTCAGACTGGTTCTGTTTATGTTGCAGTGTAAACGCGCTAGATTAAATAAGATCGATCTCGATCGATCTTGCTTGTGCAAATGTAAACGCGAACTGGTCTTTTTAAGATCGATTTAAATAAAGATCAGTTCAATTTCGTACAAGTGTAATATTTTAAAGAAGACGTGTCTCATGTAGTATGTGTTCCGTGACACAAATTCAATTTGAATCAAATGCTTATCATAAATGTTTCCTTCAAATTTAATCAATACTGAATGGTAATAACTGAAGACAATCAATAAAAAGCTTTTATAGCCGACCATAGGTTATCATTTTTTCTCATTGTTGAAGGCAGTACGTTTGCTTATAATTGCTTACATCCACTTCATTTGAACGTTGATGGATAGTTGTCTCTTAGGCAATCATATCACATCTCTTTATTTTTATTTTGTTTGTATCCATACCATTTTAAGATAAAACATGATGTTGTTAATTCTTTTTTGCTTGTTTTGCTTATTTTCATTTTAATTTTTCGTTAAATGATTTGAACTTTTCTTTTTCGTCTTGTTTTATGTTTGCATTGTTTTGTTTTTGTTTTGTTTTTTTTGGGGGGGAAAAGGGGGTGAGGATAGTTATTTTTTTCAACATTTTTGACGAAACCTAGACAATTACAAGTTTTATTAAATTGTGTGAATTCAAGTTTACAGAATATCCTGCACAGTACCTCAAACTATTGTTTTATAAACAAATGGAATTAACCCTTATCAGGTATCTATAATGACAACATTTCATGAAGTTGAAACGAGCGAATCTTTGTCGTATTTGTGCAAGTAAATATGTATTCGAATTTCTAATCTGACGAATTGACAACAATGGATCGTGAATAACGCAACCATTACGTTCGTCAGTGTAATTTTTTTAGCAGCAATTAAATGTTTAACTGACTGCATGAAGATGTGAACAGTGAATAAATCTAACGTTACGGTGCTTTTATGGTTCTTTTAATGTTGGACCTTGCCGCCGTTGACGCACTGGCGCCTCGTCATTTCGTAACACATTTACATAAACTGAACATTGTTTTAAAGATAATATGTTGTAGATTGCGGGGAGCGATGGATCATTGAAAAATATGTGAACACGGAGTATCTTTTCGGGGGAAAACTCAAAATTTTGTTGATCAGAATTAGACACCTTATTGACGAAATTGGATTAGGATATCTACAAAATTTCACTGTTCTCAACTTCAGGATGATGCATGCAACATTTTGATGTCTGTTTACGTTTCTATAAATAGCGTAGGTCCCGATAGGATATTAAATTGTTGCATATGAAAGCGAAAAATAAACGTTGTGGATAATATTACCATTTTTCACATTGCTGTGAAATAAAGATACAAAAGGTACAGTCTACAACTTTCAGCCTAGTTTGAAGAGCTAACATTCAAGTTTCCTGTGATATTTTATTTTTAACTGACATCGAATGAAAAAGTCCCTAATTTAATAATGAGTAGTTAACTTGCATCTACAAAGTAATAAGAGATAAGTCTTTCATGCTGGCAGACTTTCTATATTGAACTGATAATAGATTGATGAACATGTCGATTAAAATTTTACATTGTATCCAATTGCCCTAAAAAAATTTGAGAATATTCTTTAATACCATTATGTTTAAAAAATCAATAAATCTCAAAACTGCTAATTTTTCAGTTCAGTAGTTGTTGCATTAATCCCTCGAAAAACTAATGACTTTCATGGAACAGATATTAAATTTTGTTCGCATTGTTTAAAAATGACAATAATTCAATTTTAGGTACTTAAATCAACGGAAATTGACGTCTGGAATGTACGCAAATTTATATTCATTTGAAAAAACCTCATTACATGATTTTGTAATAAAACATAACTTGAATACTTCTCTTCCTCGATATATATGCAGCAGTAGATAGTTCCAAAATAATTACATCTTATCTGCAGATGACAAATTGAAATAAATTTGTGTAATTTCATTAATCCTGTTTAATATAACAAGTATTGCCAATATACCAAGAGGTACAAAATGTATAAGTGGTTCGCCTGGGTTAAATGTCTGTTGATTGCTAGTTAACAAGACAATTAACATTGTTGTTTAAAATTTCAAAATGTGATTATTCAATATTCATTCTTTGAGTGACCTCATAAGTATCCGAATAATTCACAGTAAAATGAAAAAAAAAAATATATATACAATCAGGATTTAAAATATAATGAAGCATCAAAAGTACTTAAGAAATTACAGATTTATTCTTATCTCATGTGCAGATATGAATACTAATTCTATATGGCTCAAACCCTTATAGTACAGCAGGAAAATTATAGATTTAGCATTTTTTTTGGTTGTGAATGCACGTTTAAATGCCATAGATACATCAAATAATGAAGGTAATACATGAAAAATTGAAACTTGATGAAATGACATGGTTCAAAATGTGTCTGTGCTCATGGTTATTAAATTTCAAGTATGGAAATGTAATAGCCGAATTATTCAATGATCCAAGAGTAAATCGTTATCTGCATATTTTTTTCAAAGATGATAATAACACTATTAACTTCGTGCTTTTGAAGCCGTTCCTGGTTTTACTTTCACCAGGAGCGTTCAAATAGAAAATTAGTAAAGCTAAGGATAAAGAAGACGAGAACAAATTCAGAGCTGTATGGCCAAAAGGAACATAAAAGTAACATAACTTATGAAAGGTCAAATTTGTTGCAGGGAGTCACAACCTTTTTATTGTCCTAATTTCTTAATGTTTCAACGGAAAGTCATGTCATTACGGAAGCACTGACAACTGAGTTGATGACATTCACAATTCTCAAGCAGTGGAATCGACCAAGTGGTAGTTAATGAATATAACATTATTAATGTCATGCGTCCGATTTACTTTCATGACGAACACTCAAACCCAAACTTTTAAAAACGGAGGATTAAACTACCACAATACGTGATTACCGGTATGATTGAAACGGATCTACAAATGGCCAAAATAAATTGAAGCTCAGCTTTGCCTGAGGTAGTAAAAACCTTAGTTTATCTCACATTATATTTTTTGTTAAATAAGGAAAGACAAACAAAATTGTTACAAATAAGAACGTTTTTATTTTCTTTCCTTTATAAATGTATGCTTGTTTTTCCCATTTCTTTTGGGAATTTATGCACGCAACATTGTGAAAAGCCAAACACCATGAAATGGGAATTTCCTGAGGAGTATATATGTTAATATGGGCCTTAGCTGTTTGGGTGTAATTGAAATAAGAAGATAATATTTTGAATTGATATCGTATTTTCTCATGAATTAAACATGTTAAACACACTGCTATTCTTCTTTCGGACAAAAGACACATTTGTTCGTAGGATATAATGCACGAGTACGTAGAATCAAATAAATAAAAAGATTGTTATTCATGATAAGATACGTTGTGAAATTCTAGCATGCATGCATGTTTTAGCAATCTGTAAATGTCAAAACGATTATTTTTTCTTTTTTTATTTAGCTTTAATGTGACTGATTATATCAATATCACTAATCATTTTGTGTTATCTTATTTGATTTAATATACAGGTTTACTTGCATTTAATTTAAGATAAAATATACCCGATTAACGTAAAATAATAATGCATCTGTTGTTAACATGGGGAAACAGGAAAATATGAAGAAAACTAACATGAGTTAATATAAATAAGGTCCTTTTTACACTACTTACAGATTAAATTTCATCATGATTATTATTACACATCACAAAATTCATCCGGAAGAAATGTACGCTTAGGTAAACACACTATTGTGTTGGTTTAAAAACCTAAGATTCGCGTTTACAGGTCTCACTAGTCAAATAAAATCATTGCACTGACAAAAAAATGGAAGTAAAAGTCTGGTTTTGTATGTGTATTTTTCTCAATTGGATTCTGCTGGCATCATGTAAGTATTAATGTTTGATGTATTTTATTCGTAAGCGTAATAGAATTAAAAGATATTGTCTACATTAACTTTTTCTTATTAAATCCACTGTTATTTGGACTCTGGTGGATAGTAGTAGTTGCAAACATACCACATCTTCTTATTTGATATCTGGCGAATTTAATAAGTAAATAATTAAATTAAATACAAATGCGACTAGTTTATAATAAGTGTATAGTGAGATATGGCTATATAATAAATAGATTCAAATTACATTACGTTTGTATGTTGCCTGACATTATTGTTTATGAAATCAGAAAATAAAATATTTATGCATAACGAGGGCGGATATGTTCTGAACAAGAGGGGCACATTTACATGCTTTACACATCTGCTGATTTTTTTTTAATATCAAATATTTATCTAAATTTGACGACGTAGATTATTACATAACTGAAATAACATATCGTTTGGGATTTCAATCTATAGGGAATAAATTTCTAAAATATGTTATAGAAGTTTGACATTTGAAACCGAGACACAGGACAGTGTCATAATTTTGTTTCATTTTGTATTATTCTGATTTGTGTTGCTTTGTTTTGGTTTTGCTTTATCTTTAAAATTTTAACAAGTATAAGTTTAATTGAAATAAAGACACCTCTATCAGCTACTTTATGATCATGTTCTGACACCACAACAATAACAATGCAGTTTATTTATCCATAATTTGTCTTATCGACTACAGTAGTCATTATGTATTTGCAGTAACCGCTGCAATCTTAAAGTTTACGAAAAAAAATATGACCAGAAGAAATATGTGTTAAAATTTAAAACAGACAGGCTGTGAATAAAGCAATGAAATGATCACAATAAATTTAACATCATTTACAACATCTGATACGATTGACGAGAACACTTGTTCCAGCAGTAGTGTTTACACTATCTACCCAACATTATGTTTATAAACAAGTCACAGATAAACGTTGTTCGACAGGAAAGATCAAGTTTTAATTACATGTTCTGTTAATACAATCAATACATTTATTTCTGGCGAATATGATATAAGTTGTTGTCATGTTGAACATAGTACCATGCAAAACGGAAAATCTTAAAACTGTAGTTGTTGTCATACAGAGGAATTATTTATGAAAAGTTTATTCGCCATCTTGTTCTTTTTTAAATTGGTAAGTCCTTTTAAACCTATCTCGTTTCAATAAAACTTTATCAAGTATATACACCTTAAATTATACTGGCAAATACAAGAATAAAATTGATATACGAATTGAATTAAATACCCCTTTTTTTCGTTTTATTACACTTTAACATTTTACTTAACTTTTTAAATGCAGTTAAACGTCCAAGGTACTCGAACTACTTCAAAGATAGACAAGTATCAATATGTATATTTCAAATAAGTAGAGTACTTTTACATCAATTTCATAGTGTTTTTTTGTACCATCAAAAACCCATTCTAGATTGTTTAGTCAACTATTCAGCGTATTCAGTTACATAGAAGATTGTAGACGACGTTATCTAAAACATATAAGTCAAAAAAAAAAAAAAATCAAGAAATTTTAATGGAAGTATAGCTGATGTTTGAAAAAAAAGAAGATTTTGTGCATTAGGAAGCTTGATTTTTCTCTTTTTTAAAATTATGTGATTAACATTTTGAACTGATTTTTTTAAAAAGTAAACACCCTTAAATGTTCTGTAACCTTTAACTAACAGAAAGAAATGCAAAATGTAACGTCGTTGCAGATCTTCAAGCTGAACGATTCAAGTATGATCCCATTACCGGGGTTGAAAGACGAAAGTGATTAAACAATAAATTCCATTTGTTTGTCGCTGACGCTCTTTAAACAGTTAGAAGAAGACACCAAAGGGATATTCAAACTCATAAGTCGAACACAAAATAAAAATGACATAGCGAAAAAAGAAAAATACTAACAGACAAACAACTGTACACAAAACACAACATAGAAAACTAAAGACCGAGCAACAAAAACCCAACCAAAAACCAGAGGTGATCTAAGCTGCTCCGGAAAGGTGAGCAGATTATGCTCCACATGTGGCACCCGTCTTGTTTCTCATGTAAGTTCAAACCCGATGTCAAGTCTTATTCGGTAGGTCACATTCGGGGAAAAAAGGACGGGATTATGGTTACAATAATTTGAACATATCCGTCGTCATCTGTGATACAGATATGTTAAAACATTCAATTACCGTGTGATGGTGTCCGTAAAATTAACGAATAGATAAATTCAACTTCACCAGTTGAAAGTCTGCCTTTAACAGCTTCCTTGTGGGCAACAACCTTATGTCAATGAAATTATGATATGAAATTTAAGCCCTGAACTCTTCTATATTTTCATTTTAGAATGTGTACAATTGAAATAACCGAAACAAAGTCAGCTATATATTGAGTTGTGCATGTATATGGTATTCAGCTGAATATTAAGTAACAATTATACTCCATTTATTCCAGATGAAACCAAATCAATCTTGATTTATATGTACACAAATTATATGTTCCATATATAGGAACTTCTTTTAAAGAAGTCTTTGAACTCATCCATGTAAAAGTAAATGTACACTAGTCTTGTCAAATTTACTTACACTCTCGCTTAGAAATCAGTCATCTAAAAACTGGCAATCTTGGTTAAAGACTACAGATTAAAAACTGTTCAGGTCAACAAATGCATCTGACTAATTCATTTCTCCCTTAGCATCCAGCGGCTTATATGTCGTACATATGCAGGACCCTGTGCAAATGTGGTCGGCCCGGATCAACGTAAAGATAAGTAGAGTGACACATGAATAAGATCATTGTATTTTGAAAATGCAAAACATATGTCTTACAAGAATATAATTGCACCATTACCCATATCGTAAGGTAACCGATATAAGCGTTCCTTTTATCTCCACGGGATACGAATGCCGAAACCATAAAACAACAATAAATCAAAAGGCAATAAAGGCCATCTAGAAATAAATACTATATGTATTGCTTATGTATATACATTCCCATTATACATGCAGCTAGAATGTTCAGTTTTCGAACATGTATACATTTCAACTCTAATAATTCTTCAATGATTTTTTTTGTATAGATTATCAACCCAATGTACATTTATTGCTGGTGCCTTTTGGTTATCATAATTTGAACCCCTACTTCTAAGGGTATGTGTCTAATGAGTCAAACCCTAGTATTTAGAACCTCAATTTAAAGTTATACATGGTTAATAACAACGGGTTACAATAAGTAAACAAAAGAAATACTGTATGAAATGTAATCGTCTTAGGTGTCTTGTATGATTATTTTGTGTTGAATAACAATGAAAGGTTGTTACAAGTGATACTTAATATACCGGAAATAATACACTCGGTAGTTACTGAACTACAGCGCACGTTTTATATGATTTTTACAAGGTCATTGAATTGTTTTTTAAAAATGTCAAATATGTTTATAAATTTGACGACGAAGTTTATTTCATACAGATAATAAATCACCACGTGGAAACACAATCTACTTGTTTTGAATTTTCATAATTCAAACCCTCGATACGAGAATGCGTCATACATTTGTTTCGCTTTATTTGATCTGATTTGTTTTGCTTTGTTTTTGTTACGATTTGTCGTTAAACTTTTAATAAATATATTTTCAATTAAGAAGGAATACTGCCTTATCAGCTTCTTTTATAATTGTATCTGACATCGTAACGGTATACATGTAGTTCAGTCATCGGTAATAAGTATTCATTGTCTTATTATTAAGCTCAATCCAAAAATAGGTTCAGGAATAAATGTTGACATTTGAAATATGCTGGACATGAATGCATCAATGAAACGATTACAAGGAATGTAACACAATATGCAGCGCATGATACGACCGACAAGACCATTTGTTCATGGACTAACTACCTAACATGCATATGAATACATAAGGCATAGATAAACGTTGTTGCATGGATCAGTTATTGATCATCAGTACCATTACTATTCCGCATATTTCGTTTCTGTGAAATATGATGTATGTAGTTGTCATGTTAAACAAAGCGCGATACAAAACGTAAAATCCAATACTTAAGTTGTTGTCATATAGAACCTTTTTTGGCAAAATGATTATTCCTCAACTTATTTTCATATCGTTTAATACATTGCAATTCTATTTCGTTTCAATTAAACGTTAGTAAGAAAGTACACATTGAATGATTTGTCTTCGAACCTTTAAATAAATACCACACTATTATTGCATTGCTCTGACTTTACATCTTTACAAATTGACTGACATTTGCAAAGGTTCACCATGAGGTTCACCATGTAATAATGCCAGGAACACTTGTTATGACTTTTCTGTTTATTCTGTTATTTCTTTAACTTATCCTTTAAGTCTGATTCCAATCATGTTATATTCGTCGTGTGTCATTACCGTCCGGAAACATATAGTGATATGTTATGTTTTATTATATCGGTAATTAAAGTCCCGATGTTGAGATATATTTTCTCTGTTCATGGTTTGTAAATAACTGTTTTTTGTTTTCTTTTCATCGTTTTCCGTTTAATAACATTGCAATATCAGGTTCGTTTCGATTTATGATTTTATGAACTTTTTCATCGTATGGCTCTTTTTGTTTGTTATTTTTTTGAACTTCATGATCTTCTATTTAACATTAAGTTGTTTTTTTCTTTTTCTCATTGAATTTCTATTTATAAGTACAATAACGATATATTATCAAAATATCCATAAACAGGGCAAACTTTTTCTTTGTCTGTGAATAAGGAGTTCCAAATGTACTTAGGAGCTAATGCTATATAGCCACTTCTGATGACAAAATGTTACTTATGGTTCGTTGCAGTAGAAATTGATGATTTTTAATTTTTAAACATACCTAAATGGCCATTACACTTAAGACCGTCAATGTTTGATGTGGTTTTCTGCATAAAGTGTCATATCAATGAACTCATTAATTGTTTGTTCAATGTTGATGGATAGCAGACACGCCATGAAGCGTTGGGAAAGT